TCTTAATAACACCCAAAATTAACTTCTTAGTCCCTCTGTGAAGTTCCAGAACCATTCAGAACAGTTCACACGCTCAAACAGTGTCAACAGTGCGTCAAAAAAATATCAGAAATTACAAAATTGAGAGAGCCTGCTCCATAAACTTGGGAGCAGGCTCTTTTGTGCATGGAGCCGGCTCCATGACTCTTGAAGCCGGCTCTAAGGGTGTAGGAGCCGGCTCCCACTTCCATAGAGCCGGCTCTCTCTGTGATACCCCCGGATTTTCGAATGCAAGTTGGCCAGGCCCACGCCCAAATATCCGAGGATATCAAAACAAATTGATAAGAAACGAACATAGAGTACAAAAGAATAAAGAAGAATATTTAAAATGCTGACAAGAAACTAAAATGATAATCTAATAGTAAATCTCAGAATATATTTTCATTAATTAATAAACTCTTCTGATACAACTGATCCTCCAAAATACAATTCGGGAATCCATACTGTGTGGACCCCTAGAAAATTCAAACTAAACAAATGACAGCAATAACTGTCTAAATTAGGAAACTGAATCATAAAGGAACTCCTATGTAGCATCGGACGAATAAAGTAGACGGATCCCCGCTCAGCACGAACAACCTCTACTCCTGACGAACACTTGAAAAATAATGGTGGGTCAGGCCCACAAACAAGCTCTACTCTACTACAATCGAAGCAGAGATCCGATACACGTAGACATCCTAGTCAATCCAACAGTAACTAGTAGTTCATATATATATATATATATATATATATATACACACACTAAAGGAACCTCACTAGACTATAGGGTTGCCTCAACCTGAATAGTAGGCAACATGCAAAACGCACATATAGTGGGTATGAGTACCTAGACCTACCAGGGTACACAACTACACTATATCTAGTTACACATCCCTGGCGATATACGCGCCCTAATCACTGATCCTGAGACTCAAGCTCATATTATGGTACCATACTTATATATATATAATTTAATAACCATCCTATCCAGTATAAATTAATCCTCCATAAGTCATTCAACTTGTTCAGCTACCTGACTTGAATATAAGTAGGACTTAATTAGTTAATCAATTCCCTTATATAATAAATTAATCCTCCATAAGTCATTCAACTTGTTCAGCTGACCTGACTTGAATATAAATAGGACTTAACATTTTAGTTAATCCATTCCCTTATATAAAATAGGTAGGACTTAACTGATAAGTTAATCCGTCCTTAGAATGCCACCGTCCCATACCGGTGCATTAAACCACACAATCCAACAATTGATGTAACAATTAAGGAAATACATCAAACGATCCAGAAATAACTATGATAATATGATATCAAGTTATTATAAAATATGAATGACTTATTATTTATTTAAGTTTCCTATATCATATGTCCTACACAAACTGGATCTTATACATGATGATATTTTATTATACCGTCAAATAAGTATTCTCCGTATCCAATTCATCCTACACATTTAATCTCAATTACTAAAAGATTTTAAAAGATTAAATCCATTCATTTGTTTAAAACATTCAAATAGCAAACATCATTATGATTGAGTCTATTTAAATTTATTTAAATCCAAACCTAGTTCCTATTTAATGTTCAGGAATCATAGACATGTTTCTATGTTCCATCATTCCACAAATATGGAAAATACATAATTTAAACATATAAAAATTCACACCGAAAATCAAATCAAAATCATGCATTTATCAATTCATAACACAAGAACAGATATGAACCAATTTCATAAAACCTATATTCTAATCCAATTAAACATGCATAATTATTTAATTTTATTTGTTTAATAAATCCTGAAATTTTCTAGGCATGTACAGAAACACGAATCAAAGGGAAAGAGATAGAAGAAGAACTTGCCTTAAACTTTCGGATTGAAAGTTAAACTTCTTCTTCCTTAATCTTCTCTCTACAGGGTTTTTCTCCTCCTTCCCTCTCTAACTCTCTCTCTCTCTAGAATATATCACGTGAATATTTCTAACCCCCTTTTACAACCTATAGCTATATATTTATAGGCTAAATAAAATAACCCTAACCATTTTCCCAATCCAAATCAACTTAAAAAAATAAATATTAAAATATTTAAAAGGTAAGTAAAATATGTTACGTATATAATTTATATATATCTTTATTAAATAAATAAATTATACACATCCCATTATTTATTAATGGATTATCCAATAATACTTAAGTTGTCATAATATTATAAAGTAACTTAAAACATAACACGTATCAAATCTACGTATATTTTTATTATTTAAATATAAAACATATACATCAGATTAAATATTACTACCCAAGTTACCATAAAAGTAATTAATAAATTACTTTTCCTTTTATATATATTAAAAAGGTAAGTAAAATATGTTACGTATATAATTTATGTATATATTTATTAAATAAATAAATTATACACATTTCATTATTTATTAATGAATTATCCAATAATAATTAAGTTACCATAATATTATAAAGTAACTTAAAACATAACACGTATCAAATCTATGTATATTTTTATTATTTAAATATAAAACATATACATCAGATTAAATATTATTACCCAAGTTACCATAAAATTAATTAATAAATTACTTTCCTTTTTTATATATGTATATAATATATATCTATATATATACATACACAACTATTCATGGGTAATAATCCATACACATCCAACCTCCTATCCAAGTAGTCCATGGGACCCAATTGGTTGGCCCATTACTGCTAACCATAACCATAAAAGAAAAATAAAATAAAATAATAAAAGAAAAGAAAACATTTAATTTACAATTAATCAAAACATCATTTAAGCACATAATCTAATTAAACAATTAACACATAGACAAATACAAATAATACATAGACACATAATCAAATATTCAAGTAATGCCTAATTCAATTAAACACATAAGCAATTAGTCAAATAATTAATTAAATAATTAAAAATACAATTAAAACAAATAAATAAATACCGAGACTATCCTTTTTAAATTAGGGGTATTACACTCTCCCCCTCTGAGAGCCTCCAATCCAGTTTCACTCCGTTTCAGCCCATCTGCTCAGTCTCCAGGCATTCCAACCCCTCTGTTCCTCTTTAATACTGAACCTAAGAGTCTTATATAATCCCAGTAGCATCCCAATGGTTTGTTTACAATAGTTGAAAGCAATTACAGTGATTACAACCATACCGATTTAACATGCTTAAAGAACAAAATTGAAACTCAGACATGCAAGAACTATAACCGAATTGATTCAACGCATACAGATCATCAATATAACATATAATAAACATTGAAGTTCCAGTTAATGATCAATTTAAACCCTAGAGACTATCTAAGTGCACAGAACACAAGCCGAGGAAGAAAAGAATTTGCCTGTGATTTCAGTTATGAAATCCCGGCGTCGTCTCTAAGTTTCCGGCAATACTGAACACCATCAAGCCTCCTACTACTCCAGCTCTTCCCTTCTCTTAGGTCCGACCTTCAAGCCGCAGTCGAAACCCTCACCGAACGTGCTCTGTTTTCTCAAAACCTCTCTGTTTCTCTCTGTAGTTTTGGCACGTGAATAGGGTTTTGTTTTTAACCCTAACAGACGTACTATTCTATATATAAAGGTTAAACAAAACCCTAATCCATGTATAATTAGAGACAAAACCTTAACTAAATCCTAGTCGGCCCATAGAACAACCTAAGTTATAATATATGCTAGATACATATACTTGACGTCTCAAAGAAAACCCTAAATAATTAACGTATTTAAAATACTCATTTAACTTATTTACATAATTAAACCATTTTAATAACTCAATTAATGACACATAATAAATTAAAACAATTGACCAATTAAATCAAATAATTCAATTAAATCAAATAATGCAATTAAATCAATTAATCTAAATAATTCAAATAACTAAGAAACAAAACAATTAAATAATAAAAAAATGCAACAAAATACTTAATTAAAATACCAGGACTACCCTTTTAAAATTAGGGGTATTACATATTATATATACATAAATATTATAAAATAGTGGGATTTCAAATCTGACTTTTTGTAAACACCTCATTCTAAACTGATCTCTTTCCAATCTTTTGTCATCATAATTTGTGTTATAAGTTGAATACAATAGTTCTTTTTAAATATTTATTTTTAATTGATTTTTGGCTAATACATTGCCTTTAATCATCTTTAAAGTACAAGATTATCTACTTTTTACACTATTTCGACTTCTTTCTCCTACATAACAGATCCAGATGCGGAGGTAATTACACTATCTCCCAGGACCCTAATGGCAACAAACAGGTTCATTTGTGAGGTATGCAACAAAGGGTTCCAAAAGGAGCAAAACCTCCAGCTCCACAGAAGAGGACACAACCTACCTTGGAAGCTAAAGTAGAAAACTACAAAAGAAGTGAAGAGAAAGGTGTATCTATGAGAAGTGGACACAATCAAGAAGCACTACTCAAGGAAGCATGGTAAGAAGAAGTACAAGTGTGAGAAGAGATATGCGGTTCAATCTGACTAGAAAGCCCATTCTAAAACATTTGGTACTAGAGAATACAAATGTGACTATAGCACTCTTTTTTCAAGGTAATTAATCCACCCCATTTTTTCTTACATCAATCATATGCATATAATATGAATTACAACTAATACATAAAAAAAATTTAAGTTGTCAACTTGCATTAACTCCTTAAACAACGTATCAACAACTTCTCCTCCACAACAATCAACTAAACCCTCCACATAGGATGATCCCATACTCCCATGCTTTCAAAATTTTAAAACAGGAAATAAAAATGGCCTCCACACAGGCCGATGTACCAATAAAGTAATAAAGTTCAAGATACACCACAAAATTGTTCACTTAAAGGCATGTGACCCCGTTGAGTATGAGTATAAAAAGTATTAAAAATGTGCAATCATAAAAGAATTTTATCGAACATAAAGACCATATAACTTACAAATTTTGATGTACTTGATAGGCCATGCAATCGACGCTCCCGTTGTTGTCTTTTCCCAACCCCTTTGGAAGACTACATTTCAAGTACATGCAAATCAATTAAAGAAAATATAACACCAAAATACACTCTAAGTGGCGATAGTTGAATGAAAAAACTCAAAAATAAGGGACATTATAAACAAATACACACAAAATCAAGATCCCAAAACATCATTAAAACATCTTTGCATGATCATGTGAGAAGTCCACAGAGAGTCCATGGAATGAGAAGCCCTTTCAACATCACTGGTTTGGATTGAATTGTAATTGGGAAAGCTTTGAGCTGAAAAGGTTTCAACACCACTGGGGTGGATCATATTTTAATGAATAATTATGCTTTGTGGCTTAGTGTTTTACACTTTTTAGTTTTTATATTACTAATCATCTAATTTTTGTTTTTATATCCGTGAATTAAGGGAAAAGGGTGGGCCTCCATCAGGAAAGAGATGTATATATATATATTTGCTTATAAATATATGAACAAACCACTAGCTATATGAGCAAACCACTTTTTTATTGGACACTGGGATTACATCGATCGATCTTGTTATCAGCTGAAATGGGATAACACAAGTGAAAAAATAAATAAATAAATAAATAATAAAAATAAAAATTGGGAGAACACTAGTAACCAAAAGCAAGATTCTAAACCCAAAAAAAAAAGGGATAACACTAGTAAACCAAGACTACTACTACACAATTAAGACTGTAAACTTTTTCTCATATTACACACTAGAATCCTTCAGTCACATGAAATCATTTAAACATTGGATCCTATATGCCTCTGATTCTGATCATATATGCTCTAAAAATTTTGCTTGTTAATTTTGTTAAAAGACAAAGTAGTATTACAATAGTAATCTTTAGAATCCATAATAAAGAATTCTTTAAAATAGTCATCAAACTATTAGTTTGCAAGGTTCCCTGAAGCCAACAAGCTGGCTATATTGGTCACTTATAATTTCTAATATTAGGCATTCAATTGCCTTTGAAGTTTGAACCTTTCATCAAGTTTTAAAATGCTAACATGTGATAAGTCAAAACTCTTCAAATTATTCAAATTTATATGCTCCCTTACTAAGACTTTGAGCATCATTTTATTATTTGCTTACAAAGACGCCAAATTGGGAGCAAATTAATTGATATTTTTCATTATAGTTCACATAACAAATCTTTTATGTCTCACCCTATATATACCAAATCTGGTTCAAGTTAGCATTAATAAAGTAATGAATATCTAACATGCAAACAGAATTGAACTACATCAGAGTTGATTCAAGTTAGCATTAATAAAGCTACCATTCAAATAAATTTAGTTACGAGTGAAAACATTAGTGATAGAAATAAAAAAAACCAGCTTCACTAGTTAAGGCCACAAACTTGCCCAATAAAAAGGAATGAATAAATCTACACTTTCACACAAAATATTCATTATATGATTTCTTTGGCATTTAAATTCAGATAAGTATGTTACACAATTTACTTCTGTTAAATCCAGAAACACAAACTATTCATTACTGAAATCACATCCATTTTCGATTGGGGAGGCTGAAATGATTTGCCTTAAAAATATTTATATTAAATAATTGAAGAAATGACTTACCTGTATAAAAGCCTTCAACTTGTTCAAGACTCAAATTCAACCCAAATTTACCAATTAGTCTTCCAAATCCTGCAAAGGGAGATCATATTTCAGTCATTATCTTCACAAACATTTATAACTAAAATTCATAAAAAAAAAAAGATCATAAAAAATTTCACTAAATAGGATTTAGTTTGCAAAACAAGAATTACAGACCTTGATTAATTGATTTAGAAAGAAAAAAAAAATTAAAACAAAACCAATAAATATAAGTTAGCAATTGCAGAGTCGAGAGAGAGATAGATAAACAGAATTATATAGGTTTTGAACTTTTGATTCTTGTAGATTTTGTAGTTTGCAGTTGCACAGAGAGAAAGAGAGAGGGCAAGTTCAGAGTCGAGAATGAGAATAGAGATGGAAGCGATTGGGGAGGCTGAAATGATTTGCCCTAAAAATTTCACTAAATAGGATTTAGTTTGCAAAACAAGAATTACAGAAAGAAAAAAAAAATTAAAACAATACCCATACATATAAGTTAGCAGTTGCAGAGAAAGGGCTAGAGAGTTGAGAGACAGCGGGCCAGAGGCTGAAGCTTGCGAATGGCGAACCCGAACTGGAACAGCGGGCGATGGAAACTGAAAGATATGGGGTTTCGATATTTTGAACAATCTGAAATGATATACTGATATGGGTTCTGATTCTTGTAGATTTTGTAGTTTGCAGAGATAAAGAGAGAGAAGGCAAGTTTAGAGTCGAGAACAAGAATAGAAATGGAGGCGATTGGGGAGGCTGAAATGATTTGCCCTAAAAATTTTACTTAATAGGATTTAGTTTGCAAAACAAGAACTACAGAAATTGATTAATTAATTTAGCAAAAAAAAAAAAAAAAAAAAAAAAACCAATACATACAAGTTAGCAATTATAGAGAGAGGGCTTGAGAGTTGAGAGATAGCGGGCCAGAGGCGGAATCTTGCGAACGGCGAACCCAAACTAGAATAGCGGGCGATGGAAGTTGAAGGATATGGGTTTTGATATTTTAAACAATCTGTAATGATATGCCGATATGGGTTCTGATTCTTGTAGATTTTGTAGTTTGTTGTTGCAGAGACAGAGAGAAGGCAAGTTCAGAGTTGAGAACGAGAATAGCAATTTAATGAGTTTGGGCTTAAATTGCTACCCTACTGATAAGTGATAACCAAGCCCTTTTTCAGTCCATTTCGATCATGACCTTCTTTTTTTTCTTTCTTCTCCTGATTCTATTGTCTAATGCTTAACTCTTCCAACCAGCACCTGTCTACTTCGTTTGTAAAAAGAGAATAAGCAGATTTTTAGAACCAAGGTTTTAGAGTATCTCTAACTGTTGTATATATATATATATATATATATTGTAAATATGATGTCTCATAATAGATTTAAATAAAAATTTTGAATTCTTTATTTTTAACTCCAGTTGTTGTTTTATACCTTTTGTGTAAAAATATATACCCAATAACAATCAATCAATGTCATGCCTGGACCCCACATAATTTTTACAAACCTACTTACTTGAATGATAAAGAGAGAAGAAAATGAAATATGCTGATGTGGCTATGTAAAAAAATTGTGTAAAATACACAATAATTTTACACATTAATGACATAGTAGTGTATCTTAATAGACTGTTGTAGATAAAAAAAAAAATTAAACATAATACGTGGCGGTGTATATTTTATACAAAAGAATATTTTTCAATGTTAGAATACCGAATTGAAATGTATGGCTTGGTTAGATTATGTAATAAAAATAATTTTATTTTCAGTTCTAAAAATTAAAGGATGATAAGGTTCTGATTTTGATTTGAAGTATAATAGAACAAAACGAATCCAATCTTTAGTGATAATTTCATATATATATATATATATATATATAAGCACCGGGCCGCTATTTCAAACAGTATATACCTCCTTGACGAATGAGACGATGTTAGAATACCGAATTGAAATGTATGGCTCGGTATTATGCAATAAAAATAATTTGATTTGCAGTTCTAAAAATTAAAGAATGATAAGGTTCTGATTTTGATTTGAAGTATAATAGAACAGAACGAATCCAATCTTTAGTGATAATTTTATATATATATATATATATAAAAGCACCGGGCCTCTATTTCAAACAGTATATACCTTCTTGACGAATGAGAGGATGGAGTTAATGGATATGTGTTTGTTTTAACTTCAGATAAAAATAATAATAGTATTATTATTATTATTATAATATATATATATATATATATATACACATATATATATATAATTATAGTATTACCTTGTACAGCACTTGTAAAACCAAATTGAAAATTAAAATAAATTAATGATTCCCTGAAAACCTTAGATTGTGTTATAATAAGTAGAGTCTTGAAGTATGGTACATGGAATATGTGAACAAATAAAACTTGGGGAAAATAGTTTAAGTCGTACAAACAAAAAAGGATGCATAAGTGTAATGATAACAATTACTCTATATTAACCAAAGGAAATAATATCAGAATCTAATAAAATTTGTTTTCCTCTCTCTTTCAAGTTTTAATTATACCATTCTCACCCAAAGGCTAACTATTTTGATTTATGATTATATATTAATCAAAGGAAATAATATCAGAATCAGTAAAAAAATTATTCCAGAAATCGCTTATTTTAATCCTTAATCCTTATCAATATAAAATCATAAATGAAAATAAGCAATAAAAACTCAAAAATAAATTTGAACATGTTTGGGAACAGAATTTGACCTTCTCTCAGTAATGCTATATATAATGGAAAAAGTGCAGAAAATACTCTTAAATATACTCAACATAACCCGTTCACCCTTATTTTAAAAAGTGTGTTATTAACCTCCTTTTTTTAAAAAAAAAAAAAAAAAAAAAAAAAAAAAATTGAACGAAAACTCCCTTCAAATTACTTTTATGCTTGGATAACCAACATTTTGTTTCTGAGAAAAAAGTTGTTTACAAGTAATAACCGATCGATTACGTATTAATCAATATTGAATTGATTTTGTCTAAACTACTCTATTGATTATTTCAAAGAATCAATCCACCGGTTAACCACATGTCTCGTTTAAGCCTAATAATACTTGAGTTAATGAAAACAACCAAAACAATTACATTGTAAATAGGTTAATTTACATTAATTGCAGATAATATATCGATCCCTTGCACCAATGGACTTTACGCCCCTCCGGTCCTCATCTCCGGCGAAACCTTTACGTTGCCACGAGCATATATATGTTATAGAATTTTTATATATTTTATCAAAATAAAAATTTCACTACATGAATGATTCACTATATAGCACAAGTAAATAATTCAGTACTTTCAATTACAAATGAATTATAACTTCAATGAACATTTAACAATAATACAATAAATTGTTGTAATTTCGGGTAAGATGAAAATGATTGGCATTGACAATGAGATGCATGTAAAACGTTGTTTTAGAATCGTATGGCCTCTCTAACTCATATCCGCCGGTGTATGTGTTAGCGGACCGATCATAATAACAATCATATTATTTAGAATTAAATAAAAAATTTACTGAAACAATTGTAACAGAGGGTCCTTAAATTTTGGCTCTTTTGCCCCTTCCTTAGCATCTTTTACCTCTTCCAATCTGACCTTGTTGGAAATCTTTACGTGACCTTGAGCATCCTTAGTGAAGTATTTTGCAGGTCCGGTCTGGAATTCCGGCCGGGCGGAAGCCATGCACATTACGTGCGACACAAGCAAGATGGCAAGGACACCAATGCACATCACCTTTTTGGTTGAAACAGCCATCTTGATTAACCTGTGTTTATAATAATGTGAACAATTTTTTTTTTTTTTTTGTAAAAAAAAGGAAGAAGAAGAAGTGTTTTTATATACGCTAATATGAGTTGGGTGGATGGTGGTGCTCGTGGCAGGTAGGTTTTAAAGGGCAAAAGGTTATTTTCTTGAATTGGTTTTGGATTGAATGGTACACCTTGAATTTGGGAGTAATTATAGAGTTATGTAACGGGTGGATTGGCAAGGACACCAATGAACTCCAGAGTATTCAATGATACTAAATATAAAAAATATATAATTAAAAAAATGGTAAAAAAACGTTCAATATTATAAGTTCCATAATTCTTCACGCCTTTATGTTTCGTTTGGTTGGAGAGAAGAGGGATGGATAGGGAAGTATAAATGTCTCTCTTACTTTTTGTTTAATTTGATGAAATGAACGGAAGAAAGGATGAATAGAGTGACATTTTTTTTTTCTTTTTTGTTTGGTTTGGAAGGAAAAGAAAAGAGTTTTTATATTAAGATAGTCCAAGGGAAGATTCTGGACCTTAAGAAACGTGACTCTCGTTGGTGATGTGCACTGCATGTTCCATTCAATAAAAACTCGAACAAATTAAACAAAAGACTAGACCAAATCCATCATCTATTACAGAAATTGAGAGGGCTACAAATTTTTTTTGTTTTTTTTTTTTTTTTATATGGGTAAAATGAGTGAGATTGAGAGTCCTACGTACTTGCAAAGTTTGAACTCATGTTTCTGAATCTATTGCACATTCCCTTCTCAACTCTTTCTTCAACAGCTCTTTATAATTTCTTTGACGGAAAATAAATTTTTTAATATATACTGTGTGTGTACGTATATATATATGAAAGAACTTTTCTTTCTTTCGTTTCGTTTTTTTTTTTTTTTATTAAAAAAAAAAAAAAGTTGTATAATAAGGGTAATTGGGGGGGGAGGAATTAGTGGGATTTTTTGAAAATAATAAAAAATAAAAATAAAATTAGAGGCAATTTGTAAAATTTAATAAACTAAATGCAAAAGATGTAAAAATAATATTAATGGGCCAGTATAGGCCCAGGGTGGTCAGCTGCCCTGGGCCAATGCTGGGGCTCAATCTTTTTATTTTTCTACTCACTCTTGTAGACAATCACTTTACTTGTGAACACACTGTAGGAACAAATGGTTTACATACAAGACTCTCAAGTTCTCTTCTCCAATGAAATGGGCCCAAATGGGAAAGTGGGCCACTCGAGTACTTTTGTAGCCTTCACTATGCTCCATGTGATTTTCGTGCTCACTTGTGTATTCAAATTTCAAACGCCGAGGCTAAATTTGTATCATCTTTTATATTATAAACACCCTTTATAAAGTAAGACCGAATTTTATTTGGTGTGTTTTTAATCTTAATATATTTTATGTACTTATCGTTTAATTTTAATGTAAATTTTACACCTGTATAAATTTTTTTATTAAAAAAAAAAAAATTTGAAAAGGCCTGACCAAAACAGGGAAAGCAATGGAAGGACCTTTTGGTACGAAAGGATAGGAAGCGACCACGTCACAGAAGAACCGGGGGAATTAAAACCTCGTACACCTGCCGACAAGTACACCTTACACCTTGATTTCTTATCTACTTTTAGCAAAGCACATGAATTAATTATAATATCGATAAATATATATATATATATATTTAATTATAATAATACATATATTATAATATTATATTGATATAATAATAAAATACGAATAACACTTTAATTATTTACCCACTTGCAAGAGCAGCCAGAGCCCAACTTTTATTAGCACCACTACTCCTGTTCCGAGTCATACAACTTTCCTGGATCAACGGAACAAATTTAACATTGTAAATTACAAATTATGTCTATGACCTACAACATGCAGGTACAACCATACTCAACAGTCACATGTTAATCACACACATTACTACATATGATATATATATATATATATATATATATATATATATATATATATATATAATTTTATATTTATGTTGATCTATTTTGAGAAATTAACACTTGTACAAGTTATGATTTTTTTTTTTTTTTTTTTTTTTTTTTTTTGTCTTTTTCTTAAAGACTTGGATAGTTGTATACTCCTGTAAAGTTATTAAATTTGTAAATCTATGTCAATTATGACCTAAATAATAAAATGCATATCCATTTATTTTGAGAAAATCACACATAAAGTGACAAGAATTACCTTTTATTTTTTAAATATTATCTCTGTCTCATATTAGTAATTTACTATCTTGTTTTTAGATGTCCCAAATTAATTGTCCACCTTAAAAAGTCAAAGCAAAAAAGTCTTCTCTTTCCATCATTATTGTCTTTAATATTTTCAAAAAAAATCAAACTTGGTATCTATACATATCTAAACTAAAAAAGTACAAGTTGATAATTTTAAAAGAGGACAATACATTAATTACATGCCTCTTTTAAAATTTCAATTTCTAAATATTACCATCTAATATAAAGCAGAAGGAATATAATATATGGTATCA